CCCCCCCCCCTCTGGGGGGGGGGGGGGTTTGTTGCGTTTTAAAATCTTGAGTAAGACACTAAACTCGGCATTGTTGTGTTCCTCAACAATGCCGAGTTTGTTTATAGTTGACATTGTTGATGACGTAATTTATTGACGACGACGAAATCACAAATTTTTATAGTATATAAGATTTTATAGTAGATTTAGCATTTTGTGATGTTTCAACAATACAGTATCCCAACAAATTTACATATAGCGTGTATTAAATCTGCATATTCAACGTCATTAACACTTTAAAGCCAGTGGTAACTCTATGTATAATTCTGTATGACATTAAATTGTATTTAAGGAGTTAATGTGATTCTCAAAATAAGCAGCTAATATTTCCCTATGTAATCTTAACAAGTTCATGCTTCATTGCAGATATACGTTCGGTTTAAGGTAAAATCTGAATTTTAAATATTAGTTAAATGAGGTGCGTGTTTTAAAGTTAATACATAAATTACAGCAACATGTTTTATGTATCGTGCAGTAATCTCGCGAAACGTAGTGGTTTCGTTTTAGAAAACAGATCGATGGATCGAGTCCAGAGATACAGCAGCGTTGAACACAACGCGTGACAGCCCAGGAGTTCCATCTACTGACGTAATTTTGTTGGTCTCTGATGTAGATTTTCACAGCTATAATGCGTCATCATCGTTTGTTAGCTGCTGTTTGTCCATAATTGACTTCGTTACGCGACTCACATTCCGGAAAACGAAAACCGGTCTTGGTCTCAACATCGCGCGGAGTTATAACTGGATGGTCCGCGGATTTAGTAGCGGGACTCTCAATGACAAGTTGGCTGTACGCGCTTTGGGTGGAGACCGCATAGGTGGGACCGCAACAGTTATTCTGTTCAAGGACAGAGAATTTATTATGTAAGCCACGTTTTCTATGTTGACTTGTGAAGGAATTTTACTAGGGTGTTAGATTTTACGAATAATTGTCACATTATTTTTTTGTTCAAGTTCTCGCAGCAAAGATTTTATCGGGCAAATTATATACTAAAAATAATCTTGCATTTTCTTACTGTACACTTTAATATTGTACTTCGAAAAATATATGCGTCTTTCTGAATTTTATTTTTTACTGAAAACGTATTGAAATAAATCACGCTATTATAACTAAATTATCAATTATATTATTATAATGATATTTGTATATTCAGCAGCAAGTTGCCTTTGTGTATTGACTTTCTCTGTATTCGTGTAATTTCTTGATAATCTGGTTGTTGTTATTTTGCTGTATTTATTATTTATATTATTCTCTTTTGCTGTGTCTGTAATTGAAATTCAGATGTAGCGCACTAATAATAGAGAGCTGTAAAATTATAGCTTTCTTTTAGTTTATATAATTGTAATTTTCCTGTTATTAGGTTTTCGCGTCAGCATTTTAATTATAACTTTGTTTTTCCACTAGTGATGCTGAAGGTCTGAAGTTTGGAATGTTCAGTTAATGACATGGCATGTTTCTCAGCGATTTGGAATTGTGGTAACAGAAACATTAAAAGTCCGTTGATTATAACAGAAAGGAATGATTATTATAGTGATTACCTGATTTTATTTCTGATTCGATATCATTAAAAACATTCTACAACTTTATTAATAGCAAGCCCTGAGAAAACCTTGTGACATTACTTTCCTTCAAATGCACAAATTTAGCCAAATACATCAAGTTTCATGCACATAAACTGTAGTATGTAGTTAATGCGTTAATCATAAACATTACAGCGTGCATGGAGAAAAATCATAACATGATCTCAAAACAACGATAAGATTTTAACTATGTTGTTCATTAATGATGAACAGGCTTTGTTAAAGTATTTCTTTTGTATTCTTATTTGAAATATTTAATATTTTACCATTCCCGAATGACCACTGCAATCAGAAAACAAATGCGGTTGCCTTGGCATCAGATTAAATGAATATGTCTCCTTAGAATTATTAAAGAGGAAATAAAAGACAACTTGTTTATCATGACACTCCATTGTGGTCCGTAAAATATTTTTGGGCGGACAAGGACAACTACTGAAATATCGCGACCGTTATATTGTTTATGTGAGTGTCTATATACTTCGGATATGTTCATATTCCAACTGTTTTGATTTACTTCATAGATATGGTAACGAAGTGTAAACTGGTTGCGAAAAGGAAGGTTCAACATCGCTAGTAACAAACTCAGCCATTGGACACGGTCCATACATTTCCAATTCTTACTAAATTCCCAAGATAAATGTTAATATTGTATAATTAGACGCCGACGTATTTGTAGGTCCTTTCAGTTACAATATTCGAAGAGGTTTCCTGATCAACATTGTGTGTACGTTCATTCCTTCTTTGTGTATTCAGCAGCAGACAAAATCTTACACTCATACAAAACAACTAGTGAAATAGCTGTATTTATACACACACGCCCATCAAAGCTGGAAGACCATCCCTTAATCCAGAATGGAGTACACATTTTCATTTTTGTTTCAGTCGCCACTGGTCGTAGGCCAATATTCATAACTGGCTGATCCATGAGATTTTTGGACGTGGAACAGTGTTTGCCGACAGTCCTCAAACACATTCGGAAAACTGTTTGCAAACACTGTTTTCCGACGATATTTGTAGGCTCGTACGAGTCTTTTAAAAAGACCTCTGGAAGGCCACACGTAGAAAAGAAACATCCGACAGTTGAAGACTTAACTGAGATTTCTTTCAGTCATTACATCTTTCTGGTGTAAATAGAAAATTTGACACAAATTCTTCACACGTAGAATAGAAACATCCGACAGTCGAAGACTTAACTGAGATTTTTTTCAGTCATTACATCTTTCTGTTGTAAATAGAAAATTTGACACAAATTCTACAGTCCTAACATGTTATTACCAAGCTGCCTTTTTCATTCCGAAAACATTAAACCAATATTTATATCGATTTAAAGTAATGTTTACTAAAGGAGTAGAACAGTATCATTGGATCAATTGCACTCGGAGTCGCCCTCGTTTGTCTAGTGGTAGCGTGCTGGACCCCAAGGTTTGCGGGTTCAAACCCGGCTGAGGTCGATTGATTTTTAAGGGTGATACAAATCCGTATCACGACCCCCTTCGGAGGGGAAGTAAAGCCGACGGCCCCACGTCGTAGATTTAAGGCATGTAAAAGAATGAGATGTTTCGTAAGCAAAATTGAGTTTCCATTTCTCACCCATGTCTTTGGTGGAGGCCTTGCGATGGGCTGACCACTCGTTCAAGAAGTACGTATCAAATGTCGAAAGAATAGATCAGAAACGTTCAAAAGGAGGCTCCTATGCTCCATGTAGGAGATAAAAGGGTGTATGATGATGAATTGCATTCGGAAGGGTGTGGTTTAAGGTATTATTTATTACAGGATTGCCACTAGTTCAGTCCGGCCTCTTCCACGTGGAAATAATTGTTTATGTCGGCAATATTTATCTCTAAAGAACATTTAGTGGTGAAAGACACAACATTCATACCACAGTCAGTGCCACAATTAATTTGTGAATTTATGTAATAAAATATTACTTTTATTGACTGCTTTTAAAACACTTGCAGAAATGAAATCATAGATACTATACGCTACGTTACATTTATATTTTATGTCTTGAAGACTAATATAATGAAGACTGTTAGCTTCGTACTGTATACATATAAGAGAATAAAGGAACTGTACATCAACTAGTTAAAGAAAGAACATAAAATTAGTTGCAGGGACTTATTTGACTTGTAAGTAGGATGGAAAATAGAGAATGCCCCGTGAATGTATGAGAGGCAAAAGGAAACTTAAGAAAAAATTACATAAACAGAGGTCCAGTCCAGGGAAACCTGGGAAAAGCGCATTCGAAATTAAAGCCAAAGACCGGAAAATGCAGGAATCTCTTTACAACACCTCTTCACAGTTACTGTCAAAAATGATTGGTATTTTGAGTTTCTCACTGAATTTAAATGAAAACAAATAAAATAACACAGCGAACTGAGGAGGATTTTATGCGTATCGCTGTAAGAATACAAAGGACCGTGTGTGCGCCGAATTTGAAAATGCATTGTTTTTGTAAGTCGGAAGTGGTCATGTCAAAACTGACAACAATTTACCTCCTACTTTCGTTTGCCTTACAGTAATTAGAATCGGATTGCCAAGTTCTTAAGTATTGAAAGGGAAGCCTCAGTTCCTGTACTCTTCTTTTCAGCCAAGGCTCTTCAACTTGGCTTCGACGTGGGCAGCGAAGTGGGCAGCTTTTGCAGCAGCGACTTCTGGTGTATCAGCTGGAACTCCTGGAGAAACAAGAGGTATTGGTGCTACAGAAGAGTAAGCTAATATGCCTGGAACTCCGCCATATGTGGAGTAAGCGAAGCCACCGGGCACTATCGCTGAGTAGACAAGAGGGACCTCGGGGGCCGCAGCGGCCACGGTAGCAGCGTCTTGTGCCACCTTGTGGGCGGCTTTAGCCGCAGATACCTCAGGCGTATCTTGGACGGGACTGGGTGCATCTGCGGGGTCAGCTTTGGGAGCCACGGGCAGGTTAGTTGCCGACACTTTGAAGCCATTCACAGCGTCTGCTGTATACGCGGCACTCTGGACTAATCCATTAGAATCCAAGTATGAGTATCCACCGCGGGTCACACCGTCGAATGTCTTCACCTCGTTCTTGCTAGACAGACCATCAGAGTACCCGTAGCTGTATTGTCCAAGTGCATCTTGAGCGTGGTACTGGGTGGAGAGGCCGACTGGAACCACGTAGCCCTGAAGGATATCAGGTCTAGCACGAGCAACGCCGATGGCGACTGCGTAAAGCACTATCTGCGAGATGAAACACTGAGTTACGCACATCAGTCCTACATCTCCAGGGTATAAAGTGTAGGATGTAAAAGATAAAGTATTTACTAGTTTGTTCTTAACATAACCTTTAAAATGTACAATCACTAACATGGCTCTAGAGATTGCATTGACTTTTAAGTCGGATGTGAAGGAAACGTCACTACCTAATTCGAGAAATCGAGTTATGGCGATAAAACTATTACACGTGACAAATAGAAATGTCACTAAAAATATGACAATCCACAGAGTCATAAATTGAAAAGTAATGTCACACTTGGACGACACAAACAGAAATTAAATTAGTGAGATTTTAGACATCAGTGTACATAAATTTAAAAAATTTTGCGATTATCAGCTTACACTTTAGAGAGAGTAAATGTTTGTAGGTAACCACGAAATACACATGTGCCATCTGGTTCAATATTTACATAAATCCCAGTGATTTCGGGAAAATCACGATTATAATCACAGCAACCACGAAAATCGTTGTTTGTCTATCTCTCCTGTGTCGTATTTGAAAGGTCCCGGGTTCAAATCTCGGCCAGTAGACTGGTCTATAGTGACTCAGGGTTTCGTGAATATATAATTTTCATAAGCTGATGTCGACTTGGAATGATTTCTGTGGGCTGTTTGTAACCTATCTAATAAGTAACTTCTAATCTGGATCACTTTCGTAAATAAAAGGACTTTATTTTGTGTTCTCTGCACATTTTTTACAAAACACATATTTAATGTGCCATTAGAACTGTGATCAGGTTAGTAACATTGGGTAGATTTCTAATTTATACCAACATTAAATATACAAAATCAATGAGGCCAGAAAAAACGCAAAGAATAAGTTGGAAAATATTTACACCGTTTCGAGTGTTACAGTAATAGCGATATTTGAATAAGTAATCAAGGTTAAGACGTCTTACCTGGAGACACCTGTCCATGACGACGCACGATAACTACTGCGATGTCTAATCTGGTATGCTCCTTAGTTTATATAGCTGTCCGAGGTGCGACTCGGAAGATCATATGCCTACATCCGAACACGATCCGAAAACACCTTTTTTCCTGTCATGTGACATTACTTGATATCTGGTTCGATTACGTGTGTTCGTGTATGGAATTACTAATGCAAATTAGTCTTGGCGATCCAAATTTACATGACGCTTATAAATCCCATTAAAATGAGTTGATGTAATCGGCCAAATAAATTTCAGTCTATTATTCACACGAACGACCATAATTTTAACAGGTTGAGTATTTATGTGATAGTGTCAGATGCTTTCTTATCATTAATTAGGCTTTCCTGTTTATTCTTTAGATTGGTTAAAAAAAATTAACTCTTTGAGCCCTTTATTACGTTAGAACACATCATCCTCAGGTAAGTAATAACATGTACTTCTTTCAAAATCGATATAAAATTCACGATTGATTTAGCCTTAAAAATTTGTTCTACCTCATAGGACATTCCTTCTAATTCTTTTTCAACCCAACAGATGTCACATGACTCCACCAACTCAACTATGCCTTTTTTCATACAGGTGTAAAATTAAAAATATTATATTCCATCATTATGAGTTTACTAATTTTCTATGTCTAAATATATTTAAAGTGCAAACATGGCTGAAAGAAGCTGAGAAAATGATCGTATCTGGTCTAATGATGAGATTACCAAACTCACTAGTTTATGAAGATTTCTGTCTTCTGGGTTGTTGCGCTGTCCCAGAAGACAGAAATCTTCATACTCACCGCTGTGAAAACCTCAAATCTCACTAGTTTATGTTTGTTTCCAAGTAAAATTACTCGTATAGGCATGAAATGAACATGGTCCAGAACTTTGGTATTGGGTCTAGTGGAGTAGAATGCGTTGTCGAGTCCACCGACGTTGCACTGGAAAGGGTTAGGTTTCTCATAGAAAACATGGTTTACATGTAAAGTACAGTTACTGTGGTCCATGCAAGAGATAATTGAAACAGTTTTCATGTATTGTATGTTTTGGTGTATCATATTTAATTTTTTCAGTGGAATTTAGACAACATTATTTTCTATGCCTTGAGACTTGAATCTGCATCAGTTTTAGTTTGGAATGATGAAATATTTTCTTCAGATAATATTAGTAATTATGCAGACACAGAGACTATAATTAAATGCTTTAAAATTGATGGTGCCATTTTGAATTCATATAGTACGCTGTCATTAAGATTTTATATTCTAGCATATTTACTGTTCACTACGCAGCATGCTAATAGGTGGATCATAATTTGTAGTGTGTGTGGAGGAGGGGAGGTGGTACAGATGCATCAGTGAAGAACTGCAATCACAAATCTTTTGACTGTAGCCTGAGTTTGTGGCCCTCAAACAGTTCTCTGTGCTTCTGTGGTGCCCACCAACTACAGCATCTCGTTGCTAAAGATATGCGTTAGATTTATTATGTATGTTGAGGAAACTTCGAGTCACTGAACTGAAGCTATATGCCTGTAGAGTAACGAACTGCGTGACACTTGGCTCAGAGGCAAGAAAATAATAATTTATACTCATGCGTGCTTTAATGTAAGTGGTACTTTACATCGGCTGTACTGGAAAAAACACTTGTGAAGTAATTACTGTTTAAAGTTACAAAGCAAAGCATCCGAGAAGTGCAGCCCATGCACAGAATCTGCAAGGAATATGTGAACTTCAGGCTGAATTAGCAGTGACCTTGAACTTTCTTCCTTGGTCTGCAGTTCATAGGCTCCTCCAACATGGCGTGTGTTTGTGTGCATGGGCAGACTTGTGGGATGTATCGCACACAGTGTTGAAATGACAACACGTTTTGCCTGTTAAAACATGAATTTATTCAATCGTATTTGTCCAGCTGAATTTCGGAGTTATAGACTAGGCGTACCAGATTAGGAATAATGATATAATTTACCAGTAATTTATTCCAGTTTTTACATTCTTGCATGCGAAAGTTTCTTCTTTGTGATGAACTGTCAGGGAATGAAGGAGTATGATATTACATCTGAAATATAATCCAAGTTACAGTTCAATTTTCTTAACATCTTAGCTCACAACAAAACTAACCTAGACTCAATGCATTTCATACCTACGTAATTTGTTTTTTTTATTTGTAACGTGCCACATAAACAGTTCACATGTCACTTCTGGATCATCTGCCAAGAACGTATATGAACAGGTCCCAGTCCGAGAAAAGGATGGAAGGATCCTGTTCGTATGGACCTGTCGTCAGACAAAACACTAAATAAAGTCACTCATTCTTGGCTTTGTTTGATGATATGGGGTTAGCTTGACTATGTTTATTCATTCATTCAATGTATTACAAATATGAAGATTATTTTTTCAAGTTTAACTGGTGATTCAAATTAAATTTAAATAAAATGGTTGAGAGTTTTGAATGACTAGGCTTCAGTATGCATTACTTCAATTAAAAACACTTCACAAAAAAATTTATATTGGTCATTTATGATTCTCTTTATCAAGAAGAGTTTGAAAATATTTTTCCAATTAAATTAATTAAATAAACAAAATCAAATTTCTTATATTTTTAATGTAACAAGGAATCTTTGTCACCTACTAAAAGTTTTGCCTTGTGACTTGTATAGAGAAACTAATTAAAAACGCAAAAGAAAATTATTGAAGGTCAATGGTAATTCAAGATTTTAACGAGGTTCTTGGAGCGAGAAAATATTGAGTATTAATGCTACACCATGTGTGGATTTTTTTAGTCTTTTGAGACAAATGTTGGATTAATACTTTTCAAATTGCCAATGACTGTTTTCTTCCACGTTCATCATCCACATTCATCTTCTTGTCAGATGCTGTATAACGTGTGTTATTGAAAGATTTTTTTACGTTTAATACCGTAAGGACTGAAGTGATGTATTACGCATGACACTGGAGGATAGGATGATTTGGAGGTTATGGTAACAGTTTCAGAAATAAAGCTATTTTATTATAATAACATGATGTCATAGTAATCGTCAAGATTGTATTTTGGTGAATGTAAATTATTCAATATACAATTGATTGAATAAGTGATATGCACAATTCAGGAAAATTTTAAAATGAGAGATATATTTTCAGCTGGCTTCCGCTAACTAATATGACTTATTATCAAGATGCCGACACTTCTCGATGAAATTAAAACATAAGATGGAGAGTTACCCAGTGACTATTGATGTTTAAATATATGTTTTAATTATGTCTTTGTTAAATTATTTTTAGAAAGTATATTTGAGCTTTAATTTTAAGGTGAGACAGCTATGTGCTGCCCAAAAGCTTATCGTGGATAAATTGTACTGGGAAATCTATTCCTGTGACTACAACAGACATGAAAAGTTATGGATGTAGGAAATGCTACGACTCAAGTTTAAGACAGAACTAAATGCTACTATCTTAAAAAAGTAAAATAAAAAGTCCTATGTGATTAATTCAGCAATTTACAAGGAAGTAGGATGTTATCGCATTAAACTCCTCAATGAAAACTGACGAACCTGAATGGAATAACACGTAAAATTACAAGTAGCCTAACAGAGAATGACATATTTACCCAAATATAATTTATATCCTAAATTTAAAATATCAGGCGGAATGGAAACATTTCTAGACATCACGTGTACAACAGTCAAGTAAAACTTTGTATTCTCTAAGGGCGGGTTGAAAAAGAGGTAACTGTTCTGCGGGCCATCACACGGGTATGTAAAATCTTAGCCGTCTACTTTTACAACACTAAGCTTAATCTTAGAATGTATTTTTTATTCCTTTATCATCATGCAAGAACACATAAATGTGAATTTTATTGAAACAATTGAAATACGTACGTTGACAAGTAATTATTTTACATGCGTCTGAAACAAATTTATTACAATAGGGATTTTTTGGGCTGCATGCTATGTAAAATTTGAGAACTGAAATGGGGTGTATTATGTTCAGAAAAATACAGTCGGCCATTTTAAGTTCACTGAAACAAACCTTATTATTTCGCATCTGTTCAATAAACATAGTGATCACGATATTTGACAGCTGCGTGAGCTGCGAAGTGGGCGGCTCTGGCAGCTACAACTTCAGGTGTGTCAGCGACAACCTGGTGGTCAAAAGCCACGGGTGGCACAACAACATTGCTCACGACAGTAGACTCAGGACCGACCGGGATATTAGTTGCGGCTATTCTGAAACCATTGATGTCATCAGCTACATAACGTGCGCTCTGCACAATGCCATTTCCGTCTACGTAGGAATATCCACCGCGTGTCACACCGTCAAGAGTCTTGGTTTCGACCTTGGAAGAGGGTCCTCCGGAGTATCCGTAGCTATACTGGCCCAAGGCGTCTTGTGTGTGGTACTGGTGACTGGTGGACGCGTATGCAGTGGCTGGGGCAACTACAGTTCTCACATTCACTACAGGAACCTGGGAGTAAGATACGACAACATTAAGCGCCAGTTAAACCGTGCATCTATTAACAGATTAACAGCAAACAGTCGAAACTCTACTGAAGATGGCGTTTCGTGTGACGTTAAATGTTTCAGATATTTTAATAACATTATTGTAGACACGATAAAATTAATATTTAACTGATAAATATAAATACTATAACAATAATAAATATTATCATTGATGGCAGTAGATAATAGCATAACATAGTTTGAAGAGAGATAATGACATACTATTAATATATGTGTTGTGAACAATTGAAAATCGCCTGAGGTCTGCACTAGTTGCCGAAATATGTTGTGATTATTGAAAAATGTTTATCTGGCGTGAGTGTCTCCATCATCAGGGCCCTGTGATGGAGGCAGTAAGGACATCTGAAACTTTGGTAAACTTTTGCCAGACTACACGGCGCTACAACCCAGAAGAGAGCCATCTTCTCAGACTGGAATAAAAAGTTTTAAGTAAAACGTAATGTATGTTAATTTAAAACAGTCTTGTAGAGACGAACTTACAACGGGAAACTTCTCAGCGGCAACGGAGTAGGATACAGCTGCAGGAGCTGATACCACGGAGATTGACGGAGAAGCAGATACGGTTGAGTACGAGAAGCCGTTTGAGGAGACGTCTTTGACAACACTGACGGCGTTAGAAGTGACGGCAGGGGCTGCAGCTACGTGAGAGACAGCAGGAGAAATCGCTAACGTCGCGTATGAAAATGCTTTGGACGGAACTTCCTTAACGACGCTTAAGGCTGGTGGCGACGCGACGTAGGAGCTGACTACGGGGGCAGATACGATGATCGACTCGTCAGCGTCTGGTGCCGCAGCTGATGCATAGGCGGCTTCATTGTAAGCAGCGGCGTGGGCTGCCTTGGCGGCAGCAACTTCAGGAGTGTCAACGGCCACGTTAGTGGCAGCTATTTGAAATCCGTGGGCGTCATCGGCGACATAGTTAGCAGACTGTACGACGCCGTTACCGTCCAAGTAAGAGTAGCCTCCGCGGATGACGCCATCAAGAGTCTTTGACTCTGCTTTCGCGGAGGATCCTGCTGAGTATCCGTAGCTGTACTGGCCCAGTGGGTCCTGCGTGTGATACTGGCTGGATACGGATAAGGGACTTGCGACAACGTAGGAAGGGACGGAGTAGAACGCAGAGTGGAACCCGCTGGGTTTGGCGGTTGCCAGGGCGATGCAGCATAATACAATCTGAAACACGAACCATATTTCATTCTTAGCTGTGCTTCAGTATTTATCAAAGACGTTTTTTGCTATTTTGCATACATTACTGACCTTACTGTTAATTTATTATTGATTTAAATCTATTGACTGTCGCGATTGAGTGGTTAGTATTCCTGTTATGTATTTCGGTAGTCTCATCTTCAACAAGCAGCCAGAAAACTCGCTATCCTGATTGACTTCATATGGTTTACTTTATATTCATGTGCATGCTGGGACAGTGCCTTAAAATAGAAAAAATAGGCCTCGACCACTCCCTTCAGCGTATTTTTTATTTTAGTTATCAGAGAAGCATCCTACCATTGCACGCTAAGAGATATAAATGATTCGTTAATCAAAGTTTCGGCAACAAACGCAGTCCCACGTAGTTGCCGATATGCCTGCAATGTATAGAGTATGCTGCCCCCCGCACACTACTGCCGAAGAAGTTGTCACTAGCGCACGGCGATTATGATACGTAGGGAACTGACGGTTTTTCAGATAATTCAGAACCCGGTCGAAGTATGATAGTTTGCCCGCGTTTAAGGTGCCTTTTTGAAAAGAAAATTATAGGGCACTCAGGATCTGTATTTCTGCAATGCTTGTCTATAAGTAAGAGCCCAAAATATAAGACCAATTTTATTGAAACACCTTATGAGACATGCATTGATTTTATGTCTAGCTACTTTGTTATATGACTCTCGTTATTTTTAAGGTACTCTTTAATTAACTATTTACCAACTTTGGATATATTTTTCGAGTTCTTTGGCATATTTTGATTAAATGTTATATATGTAATTTTTATTCTGCGAGTAATATCATGTGTGACTTCTAATGACTTAAAATTCTTTTGAAGGTCCACATTACTTATGAGGTACATACTTTTGTGGGCTATCTCGCTGTGGAAACAACTGGGAGTAAAACGTCTAAATAAACGTTCATAAAAACTTTTGATATTTCTTAATTAATATTTGCTGATAACTCAACAAACTCTCGTTTTAATGAAAAAGTGCATTAGAACCATTCACAGTCCATGTTATTCTGTTACGTATGATTTGAGGTTTTCACGGCGGTGAGTCCTAAGATGGCTTTCTTCTGGGTTTTAGTTCCAGTACAGTCCGGTACAAGTTTCTTGACGATTCAGAGGTCCTTGCTGTCTCCATCATCACGGCAATGACTCATCGTCCTGATGATGGAAGCAACAAAGACCTCTGAAACGTCGGTAAACGTCTACCAGACTACACGCCGCAATAACCCAGAAAATTTAGATATTAATTATATTATTAAAAAATGGATTAGATAGTGTTTAATAAGAACTTTTACAGATATTGTTAGTTAATCCACATATTTACTGTTATATTGAATAAATAGTGGTAATTAAGAGTTGTCTTCTACTAGCTATCTTGTAAATTGATCAACGTGGGACATTAGGAACATATTCCTATGTCCTTATTAGAAGAGAACGCGCCTACGGCTTGCGTAAAAAAACACTAGACTGGAAACAAGAAACTAGTACAAGACATCCTTACCGTGAATAGATTTGCAAATAAGTTACAACGTTTGTCTTTATAAATTGGCATTGGACTATGTAAGGCGCAATACACTTACGTCGCAAATGGAGCAGGCGTTGTAACCTGGGCGTTACCAAGCCTAACTCATCACTGACCTTGCTGGGCAGCAGACCCGTTCTCACATATAACCCTACGCTCTGTTCTTTCGAAGCATGACAAACAAAGTTCCAAGGTCTTCAGTTACAATCTCAAGAAATCTGCTTGATTGATTCTGTTAGATATCACCTAAATCGTGGTCTTCCTCAGACTTTTGGTATGAATGTCGTGACGTTGACTGAAAATGTCCAAGATCGCTTCTTCCCAATTTATAACTCGTAGGCTGTATCTTACTCAATACTAATTAATCGAAGCAGTTGGTACTAAGTACATGTAGCAGTCATATGTGAGAATCTGATAATCACTTAGCTAATCAAAATAAATTTATATTACCGTGTTAGCAACAGCGTAATAATCGATCCTGCCCTGACCGAATTGAGTTCAATTCACACCCTCACAAGCTTATCTTTACATATTATAAAGTATCATCGGCAGAAACCTCCAAATTTCAACTAAACAAGTAGTATCCTTTTCTCTCTCTTTGTCTCCGATAAATCATAATAGTCATTAACATTTATGAAACTACCTCTATAGCAGTAGAACCAGCTGAAGCTCTCCATTGGTCATGTTTCATGACTTTTAAAATATATATATATATATATA